CAATGAGTATTTCAGGAGGTTATATACGAGGTTTGTATTTGTATTTAGACCGGTTTTATCTGGATTTAGTATAACCATACTTGTGGAATAGGCAGCAACTCTGACTGATAGATTGTGGACTTTAATTGAAACAAAGTAAAGTTACACCATGCTTAAATCAGAATCGATTGGGAAAAATTCTATAAGGTTTCGATTCAATTGGTAGTCAAACAGTACATCAATTCACCTTTCAGAAAATGTATACTTTTATTGAGAAGCTTTGCAAAGCTGACGCGTAATATTAAAGTTGGTGCAAGTAGAGTTCTCCAAACCCTCCTGATAGCTTAAGCCTCTATAGTAATATCTAATACGTTAACCGAGTGCGCTTTCCATTTGTCAGAGCTGGCTGGCCAGACCCAGAGAAAATGTCATTATATATCATTCCCATTTAGTTAGGAAATTCAAATTTTCAGATTCTATCCATTATCTACAGAAAACCTCGAAATGACTGAAAAATGTTGACAAAAAGCATTATATACCTCTAAATAGAGTGGACTGGCCGGCCAGTTCTGCCTAAATGGAAAGCACCACAAATAACATAATTGTGAAATGCAGTTAAACAACTACTTACTTTTTACAAAACTGTTCAACGTTTGATGTAAAACCAAAGCCCGGGATGATATCGACCCAAAACAAAAGGACTACTGACAATAACTGATAGACTGACTGCCAGAAGAGAAGAAATAAACGTATTCTAAACTAAAATGGGTTTTTCCAAATTCGCGATTTTTAGTAAAATTTTTTGTTTTTTGTCGGGAAAAAAAGAAAAACTGTGAAAAACAACCACTTTGAACAGAAAATAAAAATAAAATGTGAAATCTCTWCATATTTCTAAACGTTTATTTTTTGATAAGTGCAAACTATACAAAACCCACATACAAAATTGACAACTCAGAAATTCTGAATGATCGAACGACTCAGAAATTCTGAATGATCGAACGACTCAGAAATTCTGAATGATCGAACGACTCAGAAATTCTGAATGATCGAACGACTCAGGAATTCTGAATGATCGAACGACTCAGAAATTCTGAATGATCGAACGACTCAGAAATTCTGAATGATTGAACGAGTCAGAAATTCTGAATTATTTTAGTATTAATAGTTATTATAAAATTATTTACTTTACGATTTCCTGACCATTTATTACTTAAAAAATAATAAATTTACAAAAGCAGTAAGAAAACATCAACAATACACAGTATAGCAAAAACAAAAACCGTGAAAAAGTATATTATTCGAATTAAAGTAGATCAATAAAATGGATCAGTAAAATTGAGCTAATAACATGGTAATTTGGGTCTCTAAATTATTCGTAATATGTATGGTGCAGCTAACTACATGAACTTCTTGAACATATGAAATAGAAATCTCATGAAATAGAAATACCACTACATGCTACTACCTACACAAATATTAAAATAGAAACTATATAAGTTTAGTTTCCACTTCGCTAGCGTCACTCATATTTCATATAAAAACATTCTTTGATCCATGACATATCATATCTAATTGATTTTGATGTTCTTCATCAACATCATGCCTTAACCAGACACCTTGCCTCTTTGACTAGGCACCAACAACTCCATGATCTGTAAATTAAAGCAAACATAATGAATTTAAAATTGAGTTTTCAATAATATATATTAGTTATGTATGATGATTGTTGTCCAAATACATTTATACACCTAATTTCCAAAGGCTGTCATCACTAAAGGAGAAATGTGATAAGTCACGGTTGCGTGACGCGTGACCGAAACTAAACACGCTGCGAAAGACAGCGGTATTATGTAAATACAGCAACAACCGTTGGAGTAACAATCATTTGAATGAATTCTGTAAAGTCAAGCGCTTTTTAGCGGCTAAGACGACATATTCAGGATAAATTTCAGATAAGTAAAACTTTATTTATTATCGATTATCTAAAGATAGATAAATTAGACAACCTCTCGACCTTGAAACACCGATATAAACTTTCAGTTCTGGCCCTTGCACTTATATCCATCAATAATACCTTAACAGACCTTTTCTCAAGAGATATATATCGTTATCTAATTTCGAAAATGCTTTAGATAGTAAAACATTGCCTAAAAATCGAAGTAAGAGATAAAATACTCGCTCAAATTGCAACTCACCATAAATATAATCGAACGGCACCAGATGCCGTTCGATTATCAGGTAACCGCCAGCGTTGAGAGTTTGATTTCGGATCTTCCAGCTCCGTTGTCACATCAGACATCTTCTTTATCTTCAAGGACACTCACTAATATGTTTTCTATTCCATTTCAAGCTTTATTGCTCGAACAAGAAGAAAACAAGACGAAAAGACGGGTTCACAANCAAGAATTCTTATATATTGGATGAGTACATTGCAAAACAAATGTCAGCCATAATTGAGTGTCATTTTGATAGTTGAATCTATTAAAGCTATAGTCTTAAGACTGTAATTACGCTGTAATAACTGTTTTTCACGCAAAATTCGCAAAATTGTATCATTCTTTTAAAGCAGACATCTTTTCTCTAGGAACTTTGGGAAAGAATTTCCGATTAAAAATAATACATCTGTAAAAGAAATGCCGCTTACAAGCTTGTTGGAAGGAAATATGTTAATGATACACTAATGAAAAACAAACAACAATTAGCCTTGTATAGCACATTTATATGAAACACCTTATATAAGAAATGTCAAAAAAAAGGAAAGGAAAGAAAAATGGTTTAWTAATCGCACTTCATTGCAGGCCTAGAGTGCTGAATATTTTTTTCTAAGGAATCGAGTTGCCARGGAACACATAAGCATTCTGTGATCGAGGTGCTTTCTTTACTCAACAACATTGACTCGTCTCGCAGAAAATGGGCAAATGGCCGGAAACGCCTAAAGATAGATACCAAAATTAGACCGAAAAAGACATTAAAAAACGAAAAAAATTACCTTTTTTGCCAATGCAAGATGTTGTGTTATAGTAAATTACTGGAGTATTTGAGCTGATAACAAGGGACGCATTTCTAAGATAATCTTCCCAGAAAACCATGTTTCCTCTGTAGTTCATGCAATTGTAAGACATGTACAGAATTCTGTGCTCGTCGAGAAACTTGTCCCACAGTTTAAGACCAGTTACTTTCAGATGAATTGCTTCAGATGAAGTGAACGAAACATGAAACGCTGCAGCTAAAATATTAACAAAAATAAACGAAAAGCACCGTAAGTAAACAATAACCAAACCCAACAGGTGTGTTAGTATCGAGTTTCAATTCAGTGTCAAAGCGCATCCTCATCCCTGTAGAAGGACACAGTCATAAGCCTATAGGCCAAAAAGCGTAGATCAAAGCCACGTAGTCAAATTGTTGATCCAGAATTTATTGAAATGGTACCCTTCGATCCGGGGAAACTTATGATATCTATCAGAAAAAATACCGTACTAAAGATATCTAAAAGTCCAGTTTGCTTTAATAACCTGTTAAGCTCCTACGATTAGCGTATACCGTCTTGTTTGCAACTCCATCCACGTAAACTACGTACACAGCATGTTGAAACGTTAGACATATGTGTCTCCAAACAGACCTGTGAAGTATTAGAACTTATAATGAATAAATTGAGCAAAACTATTGTTTACTTGATGATTTGTATGTTCACTTTTATAATTATTCCATAGCCTGCTCAGTACACAAGGATGATATTAATGCACTAGTTATAATAGTTTAGATTTTTAAAATATCGTGCATGATGTGTGTTCTCTTATTTTTACTACGAGCAGAGCAGAGCAGAGCAGAGCAGAGCAGAGCAGAGCAGAGCAGAGCAGAGCAGAGCAGAGCAGAGCAGAGCAGAGCAGAGCAGAGCAGAGCAGAGCAGAGCAGAGCAGAGCAGAGCAGAGCAGAGCAGAGCANACCCTGCCCCCCGGCCCCCTGTACAATGTTGGGTTCCTATTTTCATTTGATTTTTCATGCTTCAGTACCATGACATAATGAACAACGCCAACATTGACCGAGGGGGGGTGGGGGAGGGACTGTAAGGTAGTGTTGTCAGTAGAACACTAAGAATGTGTGTTTTGTACAGTAACAGTTCATTGTGTCCAAACGTATATTGTCCATGATTGTAGATCACACATGCTATTTGTGTGTTTTATCGCGATGCTGCTTTAGGGAATTGGGAGAGGTGTAACGAACGTTCGTTGAACTGAGCTCAGCAGACAAGTACAAATATCAGGAGTGAGCCTTGCTTGTAAAGTAGGAGTTATTGAGGTTACCCTATCTTTATGGAAACTGCAGGGTCTCACTATGAAAACTTCAATTAAAACTAAAAAAACAACAACAAAAGCCTACCTCGTTTGGATCTTGGGACAAGGGAAAATTCTTTGTCATCTAAAATGCTCCAATTCAACACAGACGACAAGTTTTTCCAATCTTGCCATTCTGCACGAATGGTCAGTTGTAACGCATCTGTTTTCATAAATGCATCAACTGATGAATCAACGAATCCATTCGTTTATATCCCTTCGTTATGTCTGTCAGACTTTATTATACTAGTATACAACTTAACTTCCAATATTGTCAGTCTAGCTAGTATGGGTTGTGGATTTTCAAAAACTCGCAGTATAGCTCCAAAAATAGCATAATCGTGCTGACAGAAAAATAATTAGTGCTTCTTATGCTGACGTCAGAACACGCGGCGTCTTCTGGGAACTGAACTGAAAGTTGCTTCGTGTTTTTAGACTTACGTTTTTGATATAATCCAAAAGAGGCTTTCCCTCAAATCATTACGTTCAACGCAATTCTTTTTTTTTAGAAAAACCTCCAACATCCTAATTCGTGTTCTTGTGGAGCACTGATCTAAGGAATAATTTCGCTTATACCGGCGCAAAACTGTGCAACTCGCTACCACAGCATTTTGAAGGGAAGGAGTTGCTCAGTACGTTAAAACGTTCATATTGATACTGAAGCACTTACTGTATTCTGTATAAACAGTGAAACGAATAGTCCAAGTGCGAGGAAAGCGATAAACAAAATATCTACCGCAATTTCTTGTAACGACTCTTCTACTAATTCCTTTGAAACAGCAATAACTTTTCTGTATGTGAGACTCGTGAAGGCATAATTCTCTGTAAACTTGTCCATCTGCTACTGTGGGCAATATCCCTTTGATCCAGGCAAAACAAGTGGTCCATCTAAAGTAACGATGGACCTTATGGCATGCCATAGAAACTTGATTACCCGCAAGCCCTGATATGCGATACCATGAAGTTTTTGACAGTGTTCTGTCATCTGGCAATGTAGTTACAAGTTGTTGGTCCTTTCTACGATCAAGTGCATCCAAATTGGTATAATCAAGGCACTCTCTGCTTGATTGGTTACCTTATTGGAAAACAGATTTGATATTCTTAATTAGTGAGTAGAGGTTTTTGCTAAGAAAGAGATTGCAACAATCATGATATTTTGTCACAACTTCTATAATTACATGGGCTTCCAAAGACCATGTCTTAAATTACCGACGTTTCGTCTGTGGTATCAGTGCTTCAAATTATATCCGGGACCTTTTCATTTTTGACATCTATTGTCTTACTGTCATTCATGTTTCTAAGCAACGATTCAAAGGTCGCCTTGTGCTTCTTCGGACCTTCGTCGTATAGCCGGAAAAGTTTTTAAGATCGAGCATCAAAAATTAGCTTATCAAAGGCTAACTTATACTAGTACAGGCTCTACAATCACCAAGGACTTATCTAAGACATGTCAACAGATTTATACTGAGGAAAAACAGAGGATTGGAAGTATTTTAAGCGAAGAACATGAAAGACTATCGATCTGTGTTTAATACAGCCAAGGATGCGACTCTAAAGTAACGGCTCGTCAAACACTGATAAATTACTTCTTTTACCATAACTTGTAGAATTCTCGCGCGGTGANTGAATTATTTACTTCATCAGTAACGTGGTCGATCGCATTTTCATGTTTTTGTGTAATTTCTTTTAAAATGAAGATTTCTTGTTTTAGATCTTTGTTCTCTTTTTTGAGTGATGAGATTTCTTCATTCATCTGCTGTTGTTTCTGTGTTAGTTGATGTATTTGCTGTGAAAATTTCTTTAGCTGTGTTTGCAGGTTATCATTCTGAGCTTCAAGATTTTTATGTTCTGTATTACAGTACACAAAAAGTTTATCGTCATAAGATATAAGCTGCGCTTTGAAATTATTTTCTAAGGAGACAATTTTATCTTTTAAATGAGATAGCTCTTCTAACGATTGATTTATGTCAACAAAATTCTGTTCGAATGATAATCTTGTATCAACAAAATCTGCTTCAAGTTGAGCTACCGTTTGCTTCAGTTGGTTTCCTTCTTCGTGGTCATCATCATCATYATCACTACTTTCAGAATCTTGCTCACTATCATCGTCAGAGGAACATACATCGTCAGAGGAATGTTCAGATTCTCTGTGACCTKTGTTACTGACATCTTGTGAAGTGTCAATTGAAACTTCATGTACAGTAGCATSTGTGTTTGATGAATCTTGATTACCTTCTTGATCGTTTGCTTGATATCCAAAGAGATTGATTTTGAAATCATGACTTATATCTTCCTTTTCTGGTTGCATATTAATCATGTTAATCATGCTTAATAATAAGGGAAACTCATGTAAAGCCCATTCTTTGTAACATAACCCCTGGACTTGTAATCTTCCCGTAGATACAAACACCGATATCACGAAAAGTTTATCATCTCGTTCTCTAATAGTAAGGACTACTTTATCTGATTTTCCATTCATCTGTAAGTTTTCATATTCTTCCCAAGTTGCTGAGAACGAATCGGTGTTGTTAAGAATATCTAGATATCKWGTTGTAATTGCTTTGATCCATAATGGTAGACGTGTTTCTGTCGTACTGAAAGCTATTAACTTTGCCTTCGGTTTGTATAAATTGACATCAACTTCCTCAAAAGGAACTGCTTTAGCATAGATTGATTTTGTCTTTAGTTCATCATATACGTATCGCTGAAGCGATCTATCTGGTTGTTGAAATGATACTTTAGACTTTTGATTACCTTTACTTTCAGAGCCACGTGGCGGTGTTTCAGGAAGGATACTCAAATTTTCTGATTCAGCGTCCATTTTGCTATCCCAGCATATTACAAACAAAACTTATTGATTTAAACGAATAACATATGTATCAATACACTCTGAAATGGGGACAAATCGAGGTTTTAAACATAGAAATCACGGAGCGACCACAAGATACGTCTTGACTCCATGACCCCCCGCATAGATAGATAGATAGATAGATAGATAGATAGATAGATAGATAGATAGATANAGAGGATTGGAAGTATTTTAAGCGAAGAACATGAAAGACTATCGATCTGTGTTTAATACAGCCAAGGATGCGACTCTAAAGTAACGGCTCGTCAAACACTGATAAATTACTTCTTTTACCATAACTTGTAGAATTCTCGCGCGGTGATTGGTCGAGAGCCGTTGTCAATCCTAGGACAGACCAATCTCGTGCCCAGAGCCCACACTTTTGCCATCCAGCGGATGACTGCGTGAGAGCGTACCGCTGACATTAGCCGTGAAGACTCTGGGCTCGAGATTGAGGACAGACGGATGAAATGACGAATCGCTCGCGCACGGAGTCGGCGCGCGCTAGAAATGGTTTTGTTTTGCAAGTTTTACTTTGTTTTCAGCTTTTTTTATGGTAAAAAAACAATTCGCCGGCGGTTTTACATTGTCTGCGAATTGTTAATTTGACAATATTATGAAATTCTACTGAGTACATTGCTTGTTTGATTATTTTTCATTAAAGGAAATTTTAATTGTTCTCAAAACTGATATATCATGTTTAAAATTGCATGCAAAAAGCTCAAAGTGTTGTGAAATCTGTAGATTTACGAGGTTTTCTAAGTTTTGATTTAAGTTTTTTTATTTCGTGGCTTTTTTCTGTGTGGCAAAGTCTGTGTGGCAAAGCGCTAATGAGCCCATACATTCTTTGTAAAATTCGTAGTTTTTAAAGCCATATTATGCGAAATCTATTAGATATATCAAGCTCAAATTTTCGTGGAGTGCTAATTGAGCTAATATCTGTAAATATTCAGTATAGCTTTGGATTTAGCTTGTTTAAAAGCAAAAACGCTTATGCTAATGAAGAAAATCATGTAAACAAAGATCCACTTATTAATTTCATTAGGGTTCAATATCATTTACTGATTGTGATATACCACAGGAAGCCCATGTAAACGATCGCTGATCGTCTAGTTCACATTTACTCACCGGTCGGAATATTTTGACATTGGTATTTCGAAAATGTAATGTCATCTATCTTAGCAAACGATTTACTTTCCCATTTCATTACCACCTTAAATAAGAATTATTAATTAATCGAAATTAAGAATGTATTCAACAGTTGCTATTAAGGGACTATTAGGAGACTAAGTAGACTATGAATATTAATGTTCGACAATCTCTCACGAAAATGTACAAGAAAATTCAATGCAACTTTAAGGATAACCATTTTTTTCTAATTAACAGCCCATCAGTTAATGCTTTCATATGCATTTTCATGAGATTTGACGTTATTTGTGATATTTTCAAGATCGTCAAAAGGAAATCCAAATATGGACGACCTTGCGTCACGTGATATGATCAAAATGCATTTCCAACCAAAGTAGAAACATAAAAAGTATAAAAACGATAAAAAAATATAATAAAAATGAATTTTTATTGAAAGGCCAAATTTATAGAATAAATTCGGTGAACATTGCAGAGGCCGCAATTTCAACAACTGGACTCAAATGTTACAATAACTACTGGCCACAAATATGACATGTGGTCTCACGCCATTACCAATATTCTGACCACAAAGAAAACTAGCTGTAAGGTTATAATTTTTGTATAAAAAAAGTGTGTGATATGTATGATTTTGCTGTGTCAGTGTGTAAATTCTTTGAATCCAAATGAACTTCTTCCAGACCAGGTACTTTTCCAATTCAGATCGAAGATTCTTATAATTATAATCTTAATGGAAGTGATTTATATTGATATTTATATAGTTATACTATATTTGTATAGTTTTATCATACTATTCCTACCTGTAAGCTGTTTTCGTCTCCTGGTATTGGTAATTGAAAGTAAAACCATCCCTGTGTAACTGATGTATAATGAAAAACGGATTTAGAATAATGAAGAGTTTTATAAAAGATTTTCAGCTTCGTTTCTTTTCCGTTATTCATCCAGAATCGTAAGCATATCCGTCCATCTGATTTCGGGTTTAAAATTGGACTTGTTATTTTGCTAGACACATCGTTTGAATACCAAAAATTCAAATATAAGTTGTTCTCGTCTATAAGATAGAATAAAACGCATGGCAATTAATAATCATTGAGATAATAGTTATTAGTACTAAAATGCTAAATATTAGACTTTTTCTGATATCTATGGTATTGCGTCTTATTATACTTTTTGGGTGTACTTTTCAAAGTGAGTATAATTTTAAAAATTTTCATTGAGGATCTGATTGGTACCTTGTTGATCTTTGTGCAGTGCGAGCACCCATGACTTAGGGAATTTCATTTGACAGGAATGGCCACCATCAAAATAGCACGAGGGATTGGCTAAGYGTTAAAAAAAAAGAATGAGAAAACTGAATCGAAAAAAAAAAAATCCATTAGCATGCCGCTTACATTGTATAATAACTTGTGAACATTGAGTTTCAACGAAGTTTAGATCATCAATTCCCAAGAAATMTTTCTTGGCGTTACCAACGATCTGTAGCTATAATTGAAAACAAATAAACACATTGATTAATATTTTAATTAATGTGAAAGCTGATTCTTGAAAAACGGTTTTTTTCTAAATTTAGTGCGATGTAATCACATTAAGTACCATACACGCTGTGCATAATGAAAACTTTGACTTTTGGAGCCTGGTAACGATTTTACACTAAAGTGAGGTTCATCCCCTTTGTATAATACACATGCCGGTTTTGAATAATCCACGACTTTAAGCGTACGATATTCCTGGTTCATTAATAGGTGAAAGAGCGCCAGAAAGTTTCAAAGTACAAAAAGTTCAGTTCTGGCTAAAAAGCGAAGGAGACCCCGACAAATGTCTAAAGACGAAAGCACAGCACGTCAAAAAGACATGACTACGAGTACCCAAAGCTAAGTGGAGTGACTCCGTGATGTACGGACACTACTACAGTCAATGGTCAGTTTGGAGATACTTTAAGAGAAATTGAATGAGTATTATTATTTTAAGCATTTCCTTAAGCAGCTGAGTCTTATCACTTATTAATACCATGATCACCTCGGATTCTNCTAGTATATTGGAACTCTCTGCGAGGAAACTGGCGCTATTTTCCAAACGCAGTAGGGTGTATAGATGGTACACCGCATGAAATATACAGGCCTCAAGTTGAAGACCAGCGAGAGTTTTTCAGTGGACATCGCCATTACCACATAATGAACACTCAACTGATTGTAGACAACAATGGAAATATTGTTTTTCTGCAAGCTGGTTTTCCTGGGTCTTTAAATGATGCTGCGAATTTCAATTTAATGGTTGATATTGGACCAGGCACGCATTACRATATGCCTGCAGGTGTGGTACTACTTGCCGACAAAGGGTATGGAGATGTCGCTCCACTACTGACCCCCTTTCGTGCTATACAAGTCAGACGTCTGCCGATCCACGAGCAAAGAATGGCTCGTAAATTTAATAAAAGGCTTKCAAGGTGCAGAATTATTGTAGAACAGACAATAAAGCATGTCAAAACATACCAGTCTGTGGKTAGCATATGGCGTCACCCTAGATGGCTTCAACCAATAGTAGTAGAGCTCTGTACTTTTTGTGGTCCTTTTTGATGATATGTAATGCGAATATATTAGACTAATGGATAAACATTTAGAAAATAACGAATTTTTGTTTTGAGAGATATTTGAACAATTAAAGTATACAATTATACTAATTTTCCCCTTTTCCAAGCTGGTTTACTCACGCAGAAAAGAAAACAAGCAGTGTTTTGCATATTTAGTGAACTTTTCGCTCATTATCGTCGTTGTTGAAGTTATGTGAAAGATCTCTATTAAACAATGAATTTCACAAGCCAGATAAAATATTCGCGTCCGACCTTTATGGGCTTTAAAACGGCTCGCCTGTGGCTCGCCGTTTTAATTCTCCCGCTCATATTTTATCTATTACGTATAAAGAGGTGGCTCAGTTTCAAATGCATGACGACTCGCAAGGAACAGGCAACATTGAGAGGGGGAGGGGGGTTAAGAACTCAGTCATTTATTCTTTCGTAGTGTGAAACGCGAATAAATGTCCAAACGTTCCTACAATTTGGACAACGATTGTAGATATTATTTATGAATGTTTTTAGTTAACGCATCAAGTTAGATAATCTTTTTGTACAATGGTGTTTATAACTATTGTCCTTTAAGCCTTCTTCAATTTTGTATAAGGAAAAAAAAAACATTCGTATATCCATTCATTAAGTTCAAAAGGGTCAAACACCTACCGTCCCATTCAAATTTGAGGGTATTTCAACCTGTCCATATGTCCATTCACCAGTATTACTACCGACAGTACTCCAAAGACAGCTGGTTGAATTGTTTTTTTCAGCGCAGATTTTTATTGATGAGTTAGATTTGTCAGGAACAGTGTACCAAAATTGCATGCAATACGGTTTTGTTTTGAACCATTGCAAAGATAATTTGCTGGTAGTAGATCTGTCGATACCAAAGTCTACAATGTAGTAGGCACCTACGATGGGATTCAAAGAACGAAATATCATGTTAGCACTTCTAGACAAAGTCTTAAAGTGCACGTGACACTTTTAGAAAGTGTAACACGCTGCCAAATGACTTCTGTGAAGAAAGAAAAAGAGTTTGAATTGTATTTTCTGAGTTATAAACATTTGAAAATTGAAAATGCAAATGAAGTGACGTCAACTAAGGAATTGATCCAGACTTTTTAAATTGTTTGCGCTATGCTGTTCTTGGTTGAAGATTTCAAATCATCAATCATAGTAATAATTGAGAGCTGAAAATGCTTTTTCTAGTGTAACAAAAAGAATAACGTCCTCTTTCATGATTTTGTATATCAAATCTTCCTTAGTTCACGTCACTTCATTTGCATTTTCTAAGTTTCAATTGCCCATAACTTAGAAAATACACGATTTAAAATCAATTTCTTTCTTCACAGATGTACTTAACAGAATTTTCTCTTTTGGATGAGAATCAATTTCTAATGATTCCATGTGCAATTTAAAGCAACTAACACCATTTTTGCCTTAATTTTTACAATTTTACCATAACTGCAAAGAAACATGCAAAAAATAATTTTTCGAATCGGATAAATTCGTGATTTGCAGAAACATTTTGATTTTTTCCTTCGACAAATTAGGGGTCTGGGTTCTAGTGACGTATAGCAATCGAGTATATGCGACACTTAAACAAGTGTCAACTACTTTTTTTCCTGTCGTGGATAAACTGACTGCTTGGACTCTCCATCTGGAGAAGAAAACAACGTATCATCCATCGTTCATAGAAGCTATAATCAAGGACCAGAGTGACTTGGAGATGAAATAGTTGCCTTTGAAGATATGACAGGGTAATTTTATCATTTTACATAATTTCTGAAATCCATTTGTAGAATTGTTTTGGTTAGCTGTATACTTCAACAAAATTGATAAATACCTCCTTCTAGAAATGAATGATCATATCTTGTGCTTGTGTTGGTTGGTGTGTAGTATCTCCACCCATCATTTTGCATCCCACAAGGGCCATTTTCGAAGCCGCAGATACCTTTCAAATAAGAATAAGTTTAGAGGTAAATTTTGATCTTGTACTGAGATTTTTTTCAAATCGTAATGTTACCATTTGTTTTTGCGCACTTTATATTCTCATCTATGCAACTGTTTCTGTGGTATTTATTGGAGCTCCCTAAATAGTA